GGGCTGGCTGGTGGGAGAACTCAGGAAAGTCTTTGCAGAGTGCTGTAGGAGATATGCGGACAACATTGGCAGGACAAGTGACTTTGCCACATGGAAGGGAAGGGCAGAAGCCTCTGGCAGAGGGCACTAGGGCTCCAGGAGGTATAGTCATCTCTGTCTTCCCCAGGGCCTGGTTTCATGTTATGTACAAAGTATACACTTGTTGATTTGAAGGGATCTGAAAATAACTTAGGAACTGCAGCTTGCAGTTTCATGGTTCTCTAAACCTCGCACCTGGGCATCTGAAGAAAAAATGAAAGGATGAGCATCAGGCAAGATTTTTAGATGTCTTGGTGGGAAATGATTGAAATTCTTGGTTCACAAAAAGCGTGGGATCCTGCAGAGATTTCTATTTTTGAAGCTCTTGGTTCCTCACATTGGCAGGATCTGGAGAGGTGAATTGGGAAGTTGGAGCAGGAATGACGACTTGAGGGCTCTCCTCGTTTTTGCTGCCTGCCCTTCCACAGGAAGTGAAGAGGCGAGCCTCACCGCAGATTCGTGCTGGTGCCCTGCCCCGCCCTCCAAGGTCTCACTTTTTCATGTTGGAGGTCCCTTCCTTTCCCTTTGCTGGTTTCATTCCTTTGGGTAAGACACAATATTCTCATTATTTTTTTTAAACATGCAACTTTTAACTCTTTAATAATTTGGAGCCCTTGAGGGTTAAATTTAGACTCTTCCTAGACAGGACTATGTTGGAAATATGAGGTGATTTGTGTCCTGCTGGAGAAATAATGAAAATAGGCAAATCATCTCTCAGGAAAAAAAAAAAAGAAAAAAGTGGAGGTTTTATCAAACTCCCACTACTCAGCCCAGAAGGATGAGACTTAATGTTACAAGGACTATTTTAAAAGTGTGGTAACTAATTATCTTTTGTACATATCTAATGTTTCTTTGTGTTTTACTAGTAGATAGAAACAGCTGTCATTGTAACCTTAAGAAAAAAAATCAAACTGTGTAATGCTTAGTTGAGGGTCTTCCCACCAGGCAAGAGGTTTTTATTGCTTTCTTTCAGAGTCTGCCTTTCTCTGTGTGAGCTGGAGTGAAACTGAATCACTCTCCTCTGATCGTGAGCAGATTGAGGTGTTTGTGCTAACTTTCTGACTCTGTGCAGAGCTGAGCAGGGCTGCAGAGGATCTATCAGAGTCCAGAGGGCCAGAGTCGTTGAAATCTTTGAACGTTTGAGGTAGGTCACAACTGGAATCCCAGCACTTTGGGAGGCTGAGGTGGGAGGATCACTTAAGGCTGGTAGTTTGAGACCAGCCTGGGAAACATAGTGAGAACTCTTCTCTACAAAAATTAAAAAATTAGCTGGGTGTGGCAGTGTGTTCCTGTAGTTCCTACTTGGGAGAATGAGATGGGAGGATCACTTGAGCCCAGGAGTTTGAGGCTGCAGTAAGCTGCAATCTGGCCACTGCACTCCAACCTGGATGAGAGAGAGAGAGAGAGAGAGAGAGAGAGAGAGAGAGAGAGAGAGAGAGAGAGAGAGAGAATCTTGTCTCTGTTACAACAAAATGTAGCATCATGCTAATAATAATTGTAAAAATCTTAGCCTTAGAGGTTTTCCTTGAGTAGCAAAGACATCAAGTAGCAAAGATGCAATGCTATTTATAACATCACTTGGCACAAAAATCCTTTCTGAATCATCTTGTGACAAAACCCATAACACTGACTAATACAGTAGCTTTGATAAGGTGCTAAGTTTTTACAATGATCCCTTTACTCTGATATATAGGCAGTGAACTGAGATTCCTAATAGTGGTAACATATATCTGAGGTTTTTAGTTTTAGGGCAAAGCAGAAAGAATTTGCATGTGCATATATAACTGGTTCCATGTGAGTCAAAATTGGGCTTGAAGCTAGTGGTAAGCAGGGAAGAATGTCATGTAGCTCAGCCTAAACTGGCTCGTTAGTAGAACTTTTGATTTTGTAACTCCTAAAGTTATGAAACTCAATCAGGGCTATGTGAATTCAGTTTTGAAGACGTAGAGTATCCTTTGTTGTCATTGATCTTAAGAACATGAATAAAGGCAATGAGGTCAGCCATGTGCTAAACAAGAATAAAAATTTGGAGACAAAAGTCGACTTATAATAGTAGTTCATTAACGTTTAAAACAAAAACAACAACAACAAAAAAAAAACAGCTGGGCGCAGTGGCTCACACCTGTAATCCCAGTACCTTGGGAGGCAGAGGCGAAAGGATTACCTGAGCTCAGAGGTTCAAGACCAGCCTGAGCAACGGGGTAAGACCTGGTCTCCACAATAAATTAAAAAATCAGCCTGGCATGGTGGCACATGCCTGTGGTTTCAGTTACTTGGAAGGCTGAGGCAGGAAGATCACCTGAGCCCAGTAGGTTGAAGCTGTGGTGGCCGTGAGCATGCCATTGCACTCCAGCCTGGGTGACAGTGTAAGACTCCAAAAAAAAAAAAAAAAAAAACCACCCCCCCCAAAACAAAAAACAAAACAAAACGAAAAAACGACTTCATGAATGCAACAATATTTACTGAGTTCCTACTATGTGCCTGACACGGTGCTGGGCACCAGAAACATTGGTGACTACGGGGTTGACAAAAGAAGGAGGCTGGAGTCTATCCTGAAGGAGCTTACACTCTAGGAGAGAAGGCAGAAAAGGAATCTGGGGGCTGAAAGAGGTGGGTGCTGAGGACTTGGTTAGGAGTCCTGAGACACAATGGGGGTGTCAGGTGGAGAAACAGCTTCGTAGGGTGAGGGTGGGGCAGAAAATCACTGTTTAAATTGAGTATTTAGTATCAGTTACCTTAAGTTTCCTGCTAAAAGAGACAGTACCCTCAAGTGGAAATTAATTTATTTTTGCTAAGTGTTTTGTGACTTGGATGACTTTAAGCCTGCTTACAGTCAGTAGTCACAGTTGAAATGCCAGCACCAAAGAGTACGTAGTATAGTGCTGTTTAGAAGAGATGGATTTATTTTGTTATTTAACACTTAAAATCTCTAATGTGCCCTCTGAAAAGGGTTTGGCTCAGAAAATTGTAAAGGAAAATCAAATAGAGAACTAGGATTACAGAAAGCTGGAAAATACATTTGCTGAGTTTGCTTTGCAAAGTGGAAATGAATTAGTGATTTTAAAAGTACACATTGTTTTTATTAAAATGAATCAGCTTATTCCTTTTGAATATTTGTTTGTTTTTGTTTTGTTTCTCTCCACTTACTGGGCTGTTAGTTCTTCAAGAGAAGGACTTTTTGCTCACTGCTCTATACCCAGCATCTAGTACAGTTCTTGCATTTAACAAGTATTTGTTGAAAGAATGTTGTTGAATAAATAAAATGAATGTCAATCAGAAATTCAGCATCATCAGGCTATATACATAATGCAGACCATCATATTAAAGAAGATAAAGTGAAGCAGTTCATTAATTATAGGAAAATGTCTGTAATGTACTTTGAGCACAATACAGCTAAGTTCACAACTATATTTCACAAATATAATCTACCTATAATCATATTTAAAATTTTCTGTCTTGGCCAGTTTTCTCACCAACATTGTTCAAAGTGCATTTTATATATCAAAGTTCAACCAAAAGAGGTTTTAAAAATCAATGCATTTGAATGGACTTAATTTTAAAAGATGCTATTGCTTTTCTTTTTCATTTTCTTTTTTGAGTCAGAGTTTCACTCTGTCACCCAGACTGGGTTAAGTGGCACGATCATGACGATGATGACGCAGTGCAGCCTCTAACTCTTGGGCTCAGGAAATTGTTCCACCTCAGCATCCTGAGTAACTGGTATTACAGGTGCACACCACCACACAGAACTGATTTAAAATTTTTTTTTTTTTGTGGCAACAAGGTCTCACTGTGTTGCCCAGTCTGGTCTCGAATTCAAGCAAAAATCTCCTGCCTCGGCCTGCCAAAGTGCTGGGATTACAGGCATGAACCACCGCACCCGGCTTTCTTTTACTTTTTTCAAAAGACGCTATTTTTGAATTAACTTTGGACTTCACCCCGTGGGAAAATTTTGTAAATATTTGCAACTTAAAACTGTGAAGGGCCAATGTGCTCTAAGAGTAAATGATGCATTGAAATTTCAACAGTATTTCTTTTTTTTTTTTTTT